TCTTTTTGCTGTAACAGTCACAGTGAAGCTCCAGTGTGTTTGTCATGTCAAAGCTCTTAACACAGACCCACGTTTTTAATACAGTGTTTATGTAAAAGAGTAGTCTCTTCAATCAGTTTGGAACAGACAAGCATTGCTATAAGGCATGCTTTCTACTCCGAGGTTTTCATTTCTGGGTACGGCAGGGATCCCTCCCTCCTCTCTCCTGTCCCTAGAGGCATTTTAGGAGCTGGAAATCAGAAGCAGGGTTGCTGTAGTTTATTAGATTAAAAGAACTGTCAATTAACATAGTCATGGGTCTCTGCTATGAAAGGTCTATGTAAAAATGGAAGCTGACCATACTTCCATCAAAATGGGACTAGATATTTATTTAGCTCTGTAGTTCAGTTAGCTCTTCACCTGTTTTTTTCTGCATGCTGAGGTAACGGTAGGTAGAGAATGCGACTTTGAACTTTGTACACTTTCTTGCCCTGACTAAGACAAAATGGCAACTGAATAAATGAAGGTGGTGAGATCAGATACATCTTCTATATTTATTTTACTACATGGATTTTAAACATCTATTAAGCTGCTTTTTATTCCTTATATTTTTCTAAAAGTCTATTTGCTTGATAGAAATCACATATCATTTATGCCAGAGCATCTTCATAATGCCTGACTGCACAGAGAGTTCAGGCAAAGCTATATGAACCTTTTTAAGTTGAAAGGACAATTACATGACCGTTTTGTGGGGGATTTTATTTTAAACCGTGGTACTCATAAAATTAAAGGGCATATACTAATCCATGTCTTTGTTGAGAGACATTTAAAGAAGAACATTGGACATGTGGTATCTCTTTAACAAAGATTTTCCCATTTATCCTCTTTTCCTGCTTTCAAGTCTCAAGTTCTTGTATATACAACACCTTCTTATAAACACTCCCTTTTCTCTTCCAGGGGAAAAAAGAAATCTGTTAAATCATATTATCAAACAGTAACTTTTTCAGCTGGGCAACTACAACAGCAATAAGATCAAGCCTCTTGTTTCTTGCATAAAAATGGGGGAGGGGGGGGAGTGGTTTCAAAGTACTTTTAACCTGCTTGAATTGCAAATTAAATGTTGTTAGGCATGTTTCTTAGCAAATGTAAATCAATGTAATCCAGCGAAGCCAGTGGAGCCTTCCCAGTTTTCAACCAGCTGAGTATTTTGGCATCTTGAATCCTGACATCCTGCCTTGTTGAAGCAATCTTTGCATTACTGTAATGAGGATATTACACTGGTATTAAATCCAAGTTGGCATTCTCCCAGATCTCGCCTAAACTCCTAACAATGTCCAAAAAAAAAAGCAGTATTTAAAAATTAACTTTAATACTATTTTTGGAAGACTCCTTTGAGACCATTCCCAGATAGCTTAAATTAGGCTTGAAGAACACAAGGAAGAACTACACTCTAAATGCAATCGATCTTACTGATAACATTTAGATGTTACTAGTATTCATGTTGATTCATACCATCAAAGTAGCAATTTACCACAACAAATCAGAAGAAGAATGATCTGGATTTAAAGCTCTGAATGGAAAAAAAATGAAAGTCTGAGCTCAGTTCTTGGTTGGATCAGGATTCTCTCTGTATGCACATCTATAAATCAAAGATCATGTTTCCTCTGTGCACCATAATAAACCTCAACTCTTTCCTGCCTATCCATCTCCTACACATAGCCATTTTGTCTGTTCTTTCTACTGCAGTTATACTAGTTTGAGTAATTAAGGCCCTGGATAAGTGTAGCCTCAATGCGGAACTCCTAATTTAATGGCATTCAAACTTTCTTTCTCAATTTTTGTTACTACAGGCATTACATTGCTGTCACAATTGCTAATAAGAGAGAAGGTGTGTGAAGTGTCTGTTGACACTTAGAGCAGATTCTCCTGGAAGGCATGCTAAGGCACAGGGAAAACAACAAGGTGCTTGGTGACAGCCAGCATGGCTTCACTAAGGGGAAATCCTGCCTGACCAATTTGGTGGCCTTCTATGATGGGGCCACAGAACTGATGGACAGGGGTAGAGCAGCTGATGTCATCTACCTGGACTTGTGCAAAGCATTCAACACTGTCCCACACGACATCCTTGTCTCTAAATTGGAGAGACATCAATTTGATGGATGGACCACTCAGTGCATAAAGAACTGGCTGGATGGCCGCACGCAAAGAGTTGTGGTCAATGGCTCAATGTCCAGCTGGAGACCAGTAACGAGTGGTGTCCCTCAGGGATCAGTGTTGGGACCAGTCTTGTTTAACATCTTTGTCGCTGACATGGACAGTGGGATTGAGTGCGCCCTCAGCAAGTTTGCCAATGACACCAAGCTATGTGGCTCGGTTGATACTCTGGAGGGAAGGAATGCCATCCAGAGGGATCCTGACACACTTGTGAGGTGGGCTGATGCCAACCTCATGAAGTTTAACCATGCCAAGTGCAAGGTCCTACACCTGGGTTGGAGCAATCCCAGGCACAGCTACAGGTTGGGCAGGGAAGAGATTCAGAGAAGCCCTGGGGAGAAGGACTTGGGGGTGCTGGTTGACAAGAAACTTAACATGAGCCGGCTTCAGTGTGTCCTTGCACTTAATTAGTGTGCGTACTAATTCACTCCAGCTGACAACACAGTAATTGTTCTACTTTGATAGCTATCTTGGTCACTTTAGATGTCCTCATAGAAGACTCAATTGTATGAAGCAGACACAGATTGGAATTCAAGTCCCACTGACTCAGAACTGATTCAGACTTCCTTCCCTGAGTCCAGGGAGAGGGTGACCAGGCTGTGAAATGGTTATAATCTGTTGCATGTCCTAGCTATGAGCTTTAACCTCATCACTTGGCCAAATTAAAATTGATTTTCCCTAGAAAGAGGAAAGACATTACTCCTACCAAAAATCTGTCTGACCAAAGTACAGCTTTCCAACCCTACACATCTGGGTATTACAGCTGTTCACAGAAAATCACAGAATCATAGAATAGTTAGGGTTGGAAAGGACGTTAAGATCATCCAGTTCCAATCAGGTCTACTCTTTTATAATAGGACCACTCTGCTCCTTTTTGTATTAATCATTATACTTTTGGAAGGATAAGGGTCAGAGAAAACAAACAAATATGTTTCTTCTTTTAAGTTTTCCAAAAACATGAAGACTACAAACCTGGTCCAAAAAGTCTGAATTAGCAGTAAGTCAGAAAAAAAGCTGATAATTGAGTCTTTTTAAAGCTCGAGCAACTGAAAGAAAGTTCTGTGAATAAAAGTGACAAGCATGCAAGCATGCTGTTTTTAATGTCTTGTAATCTCCAGTTTTCCAAGATTGCATTTTGTTTCAGAAGAGACCAGACCAATAAGCAGCAAGCAGAAAAGAAGGCATGCAATTTAAAAATGAGGAAGTGACAATAGCCTGTAAACAAGAGGAGAGAGGGAGAGACTGCATGACTCACACCTTGCAGGGCTTTGCATTCTCCCTTGCAGACAAGAGAGCTAATTAAAACCTTGTGGCTAGAGAAAGACATCATACAATTTAGGTCAAATAAACGGCTTTGATCTAAAGTGATATTTTACATGGAAACATTCCCTTTCGTTCTTTTAATCCTAGGATTACAAGCACATATTGACCACCGTGTGGATACCCTCTAAGATAACATTGTATCTTCTAAGTGTGTTGTAAATTCTGGCTTTCAAAAAGAAACACACATACAGTATTCCCAGACTAATGGGATTTCTTTTTACTGTGAATGTCACTGTGGCATACTTTAAGTAATGCTGGTAGCACTACATATTATTATGTTTGCCCAGCAGTTCTCATTCTAAGACTGTGTTAGCAGCTTGTAAATTTGCTGAACATTAACTACATAAACTAACATTTTCCTCAGGGAAAAAAAAAGTGACAGCATCAATCTCTTGGCTTTTCATTATCTATTTTACTGTGTGGTGTTTGCACGGAAATGCCAGGCAAAATGGGTGAGACATTAACTCACTGTTTTCCTAGAGTGGAAATACCAACTCATCTCCCTTTGAAATAACCTATCACCCCTGGACTGTCGATCAAAATTCAATATATGTATTTAAAGATATACTTTTTATCCCATTGTGTTTAGTGAATTTTAGCCTGAAAAGTACCAGCAGGCCACTGCAGTGATTTTATCAGCTAAATCCACATACAGGAGTATTCCAACCCAGAGAACATCACTCCTAGAGAATGTCACACCTCCTCTGCAGCTGAAGCTCAGGCTTGCTGTGATCTCTCACCCTTATGGTCTAAGCAGTGGGGGAAAAAGGAGATGAAAACTGAATGAAGAATAAAGGGCAAGAGATTGGGATATATAAGCAGGAAATAACAGACTGGAAAATAGCAGGAAAAGAATACAGAGATAAAAGACTGGAAGGGGAGGAGAAACAGTAAAAGATTACAGGAGAAAACCTCAGCAGTCTTATGTTCTATGTTCCTCATGTACATGCAGGTGTGTTTTTACCTGCTATGAATGGAATATAGCATAAAAGGTTTTTTTAATGACAGAAGAATTGTAAATTCTTCCCTAAAACACACTTTGGTTTAAATTTGAACAGCTGAATAAAAGTAGTTTTCATTCTCATTTACATCCCTTTTAACCAAAAAGTGCCTCATTTCAGGAAATATGTGTCAGAAAAATAGTCTCCCTTGTTAATAGAGAGCAAAATTTTCCACTGGAGTGAATGGTTGCTTCCTGGATACCGTATTTGACAAACATATCGCATAAAAGCACTTGCTTCAGGTGGAAGGGTAGCAACAATGGTAAGCTGGTTAAATATTAGCAATGAGCAAGTCCTGCAACATTAAGAGAGTGAATGGACAGATGTCTGCGTTACTCATCTCTCTCTAAGTAAACATTGCAGAATTTGACTCCCCAAAATCATTTTACTACATTGGGATAAAATTATTATAGTGCCTAGATGATGCACAACAGTCACTTCACATCCTAGTTATTGCAGCCTAAGGGGCATCTTCTTACTCACCGCAGCAAGTTGGTCCACTCCGCTTGCAGTTCGTGCTAATGTTACGAGATCTTCTTGCATCTTATCTACCCATGATTTTATCCTATAGAATCCAAAAAGAAAAGAGAGACATCCAATCAGATCACTGGCAAATGGAACTTGCATACGATTACAGCACAAGAAAAAGGTAAAAAATCAGAATATGCTGATAAAATTGAATACAGAATGGACAGGACTTGACTTTGATAAAAAAGAGTAAGCTTGGAATGAATCAAAATATTCAAGCTACACCCAGGTGATGTTCTGTTTAGCTCACTCAAATCTAAGCCCCTCGCTTTTTTCTTTATTTTACTTCTTATCAGCTGGAGCTTGCCTGGTGCTCTGCAGGACAGACATTGTCTTAACCATCAAGTATTACACTGTAGCTGCCTCTTGTTGACAAGTACCAAGGTCTGTTTCCAAATGTGATGGAGCCTAACTTACCTCCTTTCTTTTTTTTTAATACAGCCCCTATCCAGCCTTGATGACCTGATTATTCTGTAAAATATTCTGTGGTGGCCACCACACTAAGCCAGCTGTAAATCAAACATATCACTGTACCTATTACTAGCTGTAGCAAGGATCACTGGACAGAGCTGGTATGTTGCCTGCCAGGGCAACCTGCCTGACTTGCAGCTCACTCCCAGCAATGCCTTTCCTAAGTGACCTGCCGTGCCTCTCCCAACAGATAGTACAGAGAAAAACAGCAACTGGGAACAGGCTGGTACATCAGAATAAATCTTCTGGCCTATAGCCCCTCTCCAAACACTTAAGGAAGGAGTGGCAGGCACAGGTAGCAGCCGGCATAGATGGCAAGAGGTGTTCTGGCAATGCACAGGTTTGTGGTTACTGTTTTTCACCAGAGAACAGGCAGTGATTTGCTGCTGTGCCCAGTAAACCTGACTCTTTGGAAAAGGGTTGGATCCAATACAGGTTTTATGCTTTTGTGCCATGTCACGTTTTGTAGCAAGAAAGGAACCATGGTACGAGTATATTCTAATGCAGTCCATGCTCAGAAGAAGGTTGTGTCTCTTGCCTAGCCAGAACATCTGGTCTCCAGACCATTTATCGTATCACCCGTCATTATCGCAGCTCTGATTTGAAACCTGGTGCAAATGCGTATGTTTAGCCTTGGCATTTCTTATATCCTTGTATATCCTTGCCTTAATCTGATAAGCAAGGAATGACTGTTTAGACTAATCATGAAAGTAGGAAAGACAGGAAAAAGAGACTTCATTAAAGGATCTTTCCTCATATTTTAGAAGAAAGTGATTACTCTTCCCAACACGAAAGATTTAGGCCTGTGACATCTAATATGAAGAACCTTCTGACAGCCCAAACTAATATCTTCACAGATTGGAATGGGAAATACCTAGACAGGAAGGTACTGAGTTTTACAAAAGTGCTAGATTCAAAACAAATCCCTTTTCTCAATTGATAAGGGGTCTCCCCCCAGTAAATACACAATCTCTCATGATTCATGTTTTAATCCTATTTCCCACAAGCAGAATACTCTGACACAGTAAAGAAGAACTTTTTCAAAGTTTAGCTCAAAGTGTCTGAAGCCCTCACAAAAACTCTGCAGCAGAAATTCAACTAGCAAGTTGTAACCATGGCTTCTCATTAACCATAGCTTGTGCCCGTGATACTACTGTTTTCAGCCTCCCTCCAGCCCTGGCCTGGCTTATTTGTCATTCTCATCTATTATATTATATCATTTATTTTCTACTGTGTTGTATCGTTATTTTTTCCTTCAAAATCTCTGGATAACGAGCAGTGATTTCAGTCTGTCCCCTCAGCACTTCCATTATTTCCTCACTGGATTCCAGGTGTTTCAGACATACAAAAATTACATGTTAAAAAACCATGAATTTAGAAAAGTAATGAAAAAGTTTTAAACTGAAGTCATTTCACTGTTCTCACTCATCATTGAGCAATTGTAATTGATATAGTTCTAGTTCAAGTTCTAGTTCATTGAGTGTTCTCAGTTCACTCAATAAAGACTGACTGCTAGTCCAGACAGCAGAATGCTGTTATGATTCCAAAATTTTGGAAAGACACCCCATATTGACTGAACAACCACGTATGCCAAATCAATAACGCAAAAGGAGACCTCATCACATCTTTTGTGACTATCTAGATTTCCATGAACCTTTTTCTTTAGCTTGCAGGTATTTTTTGTAATTTCGGCTAAGCTTTGAAAAACTTTTTTAAAAGACTGTAAAATCAAAGCTTCTAAACAATACAGTTCTTAAGTCTAGACGGGAGGAGTTCCACTGTATAAAATATTCCCCAGATTCTCCATGAGGAAAAAGGGTGTGCAGAAAATTGCGAAGTTGTAGGAAAAAAAAAAAACATGTAGCATGGAATGTAAAAAATGCTTATTGAGACAAACCCTTTGGCAACTAACAAGGACAGATGGCCACTGCAACAGTTGTTAAGAATTCAATCATCTCATATCTGATTACTAATAAAATGCTAAAATATTAGTAAGAGTAAACCTCTTCACTAGCAACATAGCCTTTTTAATGGGAAAATGTATGAGTGTATACCAGAAGAAGAGTTCAAGCAAGTGTTTTCAATGGAAATCTTACTGATTTGCCATTGAGGTACCCTCCCCCCCCCCCCCCCCCCCCCCATATCATGGCATGAAAAGAGGGTTTACCTCAAAACGGATCTACCACTGAACTGAATCTATCCCCCACTCGCTTGACAAATCCTGAGAGTCAGAGTGGTAGCAGAATGAGCAAAAAGACTGGAGACTCCATGACTTTGTCCTCCAGTGCCACACTAGAACTCTCTGTGTCAAAGCTTAAAGTCTAATTAAATGCTTACAAAACAAAGCATGATAAGAGAAAGACCTCCAGACAGACACAGTATTTGAACAGGTGTCTAAAGGCTCCTTTTATCCACTATAACTGAGCAGCCTTTTCCTGAAATTTTTAATATGTCTTACCCTTTGTGTTATTTGACCAGTCTTCAGGCTATTTTGCCATTATTTGCTGAATGCTTGCCACACCATTAGAGTCACTTTGATACCTATCTCCAAGTCAAATAGCAAGTAGGCCCCTTTCAGGTTAGTGGTCATGCTTTTCCACAGAGGTTCAACAGAGTCTAGTAGGTGCAACAGGTCAAGAGCCATGGTTTATATTTGCTTTCTCCTTTTGCATAGTATCACCAAGAGTACTCTTACCACCTATTTCTTTGCTCATTCACATCCTACATCTCTAACATGGCCACATGAAAGTGATGTATGTTGGGATTTAGGGACCAATTACATCTTCATTTACTATTACAATTGATTCCATCATAGTTTTAATGCTCCCAAACCTTCACTACTAAACTTTGGTTTCCAAAATCTGACAAAAAAAATATCCCAACTTCCTTGCTTAAAGCTCCACAAAGCCCTCATATTATATAAATGCTTAGCTCTGTACAGAAATCAGTCTGTTAAAAATTGCCTCTTATGGTGCATTATGTTTACTTCTGCTATAAAACCATCATGTGTATCTTTGAGAACAGTACCAACACATAAGCACAGGTAAGAAAAAAAGCAAACTGCTATCATCTTCGATTTTTCAATGGTTTCTATTTTTCTGCATGAAAGAATGAGATATATGAAAGGTGAAAAAGTGAAACCCATTATCCAAAAGTGTTTTCAAAAGCATAAAATAAATAATTGAACACATGGAGATTTTCAAATGATCCATTTCAGTTATAAAAATTCTGAGTGCTATTTCTAAGAGGAATCAATGGAAAAAATCAGGGAGGATTGATTTTTAAATTGACTTTTTCCATTTCCAACTGCTTTGTGTTTTTGCTGGATGTATTCATCTCTGTCCTAAAAAGAAACTGGAATGGTGAGAACACGTATTACTTATTTAAACTTGAAATTGCGAAGAAGTTACCCTTAAATTTTGAATTACTTATTCCTAATATCACATATAAATGAAATATGGATCATTTTCCTTTTAATGTGCAAAAATAGTCTTGATTTGTCAATAAATCCTTCTTGTATATTTTCTAGGATTCCTGCCTCCACACAATTAGCCCACACCTTGCCTTTTGAAGTTAGTCACCTAGATTCTTTTTTTTTTCTTTTTCTGTATTAATTTGCAAATGAGCTAGGCTTCTGCTTCCCACGGAAGCATCTGACCCATTCTGTCCTCAACCAGGTGAGCTGAAACACCTCCCTCCTACATTGCTTCCAGAAAAACTTTGATTCCTAGTCCAGGTTTTCCAGCACAGCTAGGCTGACTTTTAGGCAGGTTAGGGTAGATAATATCAGTTTCTAAATTGGAATCGCAGAATCCAGTTTATTGTTCAGGTTGGAAAGGATGTTAAATCTCATCCAGTTCCATCCCCCTGCCACAGGCAGAGATACCTTCCATTAGACCAGATTGCTCGAACCTCTGTCCAATCTGGCCTTGAACACTGCCAGGGATGGGGCAGCCACAGCTCCTCAGCACAACCTGTGCCAGCACTTCACCACCCTCACAGTACAGAATTTCTTCATTGTATCTAATCCATATCTGCCTTCTTCAGTTTAAATCAATTTTCCCTTGTCCTGTCACTACAAGACCTCATAAAAAGTCCCTCTTCAGCCTTCTTGTAGTCACCCTTCAGGCACTGGAAATTTTTCACAGAGCCTTCTCCTCCATCCTGAACAGCTCCAACTCTCAGCCTGTCTTCACAGGAGAGATGGAGAAATCTATCTTCAATCTAATTTAATAGCAATTCCCTCCCTAGTTGTAACTTGAAATCAAATAATGATGCTTCTTCCAGTACTGACTCCATATTTACCTTACAAGATAATTTTGCTGCATATCCATCTTAGCCTATTACACCTGTAGGTGAAACTGTCCTTTTCTTACTTGCCTTTACAATACCTAGTACAGCAGGGTCCAACATAATAAAAAGCAATAACTTTGGAAGGGCTTTTCTACATTACTATTCAAAGTATAAAGGATTAAAAATGGCATTCTAGAACTGAGGCAGCTCAGTATAATTCCTCTAACCTTCCCCACAATAACTTAAATAACATCACTGACATTTTTTAAGCGC